TTTCGCAGTCTCGCTCTCGCGATCATTGCTCTCGCTCCCGCGTAACCGATCTAGACGGCGACACCATTTTGTTTGGGCGATTCGGACTCTTAATCTGCATCTGTGGTTCGGCACAACTGTGAGCTCTGTCCGGTTGAACTAAACAAGATATGGTGTGATTCCGAAATTCGTTTTTATAGAGTGGCAGTCGGAGGACGGCTCTTACGTTAAATACTCCGCTATTGGCTACTGCATATGAATGGAATGCAGTTATTTAATGGTAGCATGTATTTTGTGCAGTGCCCTACATATGTATGCGCTATCAGAACAGGTATTTTTATCACAGGTATCACTATAAAGGTTGCTGATGGGATTGTTTGAGCTCAGAATGCTTGCTGTGCCCCGGAAGATGTGTGATGGAGACCTGACCTTTAGAGACCGGGGAGTGTGTAGCTGGGTCTTCCAGTCCTGGCGTAGACATTCCCATTTGAGATGCAAACTATGCAAATCTGGATACCACCGCCAAGAAGAACCAACTTCCTAATGACCTATTCTTGATAGCATCTCGTTTCGCACTTGTTGCTGGAAGACTTCTGCAGTATGGCGTTCTCCGGATACCGTGCTTCCACGGTCCCCTTTTGCGAGGCATCGCCTCGATGCCTTAATCTAGTGCAACACATGTAAATATATACACGACGCCGTATTTGCATTTCATGCAACGCTCTTTCACAAGAAGCTGACTGTGCGCTTCACTTAAACAGGTGCAAAGAATCGCATATGGCCTTGTTAAATTGCCATCAACATAACATTTGAATTGCACGTGCATGCAGTGACAGATCATCGTACGCATGGATCAAGAGATCATTATAGTTTTATCTATCCCTTCACGTCATTGGCAGCCGGTAGTCACCGGTACAGCTTACCCGTCTATCAATGGCTTCGAAATCGAGTCGGTGTACCGTCTGCATTTCTAGTTTGAATTAGTGCTCGATTCTCGTTTGTTGAGTCACTTAGTTTGCTATCATCTTGAGGTCTAATTTAGTGTCAGTCAATTCGTGCTATTTTCGTATTCATTTTGTATTGCTAATTTTAGTCCCTGTTCTGTCTGTTTCCGCTGTGTTTAGTTCTAGGTCTAGTCTGTCCATTTCCGAGGTTTCGTTGTTTCCCTGTCATCGTCCACGAGGAGTTGAGGCGCGGTGTTGGCGATGGGCGGTCATGAAATATAGTGGAACTGAAACATCGGTGTCTTCAACGTGGCGGCTGTGTACAGAAAGTACAGAGGGCAGCACCATCCTTTGGTACATCTTCCTCCTAATGTGCGGCATTGATATGGGTAGTGACATTTTGCTTCGGGGCCAACTTCGAGGCCAACTTCAGCCGCACCCGAGCGCGTGTTATGCCGCATAGCACATCTCGTTAGGGAAGACCTTACATTGTGAGCTATCGATGCGATGCATGACAACAGTTCATGAACATGTCACCAACAACCCTTAATCTGAACTGAAGTTTCGTACTCCATAGCGTCACAACTACATCACCACGGCGACACGTTTGCTCTGCACCAGGCGGCAACGGCTGGAACGTACCGAAGGTGTCGCCCAAACGACAGCAGAGACGCTTGTGAGGTTTCCGGCACCAGCGGCAGACATCCCTGTTCCATCTTCCGCACGCCTGGCCGAATTTGTAAAATTTTTGACGTGTAGTTCATGAGTTGGTTACTTCTCAATACGACTGAAACCTTCCAGAACTTAAGCGTCCTAGAACTCATGGAGTCACTCAGTACGATACAACTTCTGTTTGCGTGACGGTCTGAAATGCTGACAATAATGACGCAGATTTGGCATATGAGTATACATTGCTCCAGAGAACCAAAAGGCTATTTTACCACCAAAAATTTGACACCGTATGATCGTAACTGCTCATTGGAGCGTGATCCTCCTGGGTGCGTTGGGGGGCGAGTAACGCCTCGATACCTGATGCCCACGCCCGTTGGGGGTCTGAAAGGGATCATCTTACATTTTTGTACCTTTTACGGATAGGTAGATCAGACACGTCTGGTTTAATAGCAATAATGATATTAATAATCCAGTTCTTTTTCCACCATCAGACTGGTACCTATCTTCGCACATAAAGGAAAAACGTAGCACACTCACAAGCATAAATCAAGACAGAAGGCAACGCAGTCAGTACTTGCCTGAAAGGTCGGAGAACATTATTCTGGGTCATGACCTACTTGGTGCATTTGGTGGTGATCACGGGACAAACCGACCCAGGTGGGCGAAAAGATGTCCCGAACATGTGACCTGCTGACTGCCGGGAGGTTCGATGCCATAAAATTGTATGCATGTCTCACATGCGCACATGTCCTGGCAATGACCCTTCTAACCCCTACTTCGCTTACATGCAGTGCCTCAACAATGCTGTTCTCAATGGACACGAGTATTTGGTTGAACTCAAGCTACTAAATAGGTGCTAACATGGAACGAGACTTTCCCGTCCCGTTGGTTCAGTTGGTTAGAGCTCTGGCCTTCCGATTCTGCCACCCATGCCAGGATGCGCTCGGGTCGTTTTGAGCGCTCGCTATTTGCGCTTGTCAGGTATTGCCTGCGGCCGGTGGCAGCGGCCGTGGTAAAGGTCAAGTGACGTCAGAGGGCGAGGCGGACCGTGCCGAGCATTGCGGCACGTTAAACTTACGCCATGAAATTCTGCCGTTGCCTGGAATCGCGCGATCGGATGGTAGGGGTCAGAGCTCACACAACAAGCACTGCTTAAGGTGAGATCGTTTCCCACATATCCATAGAAGCTGTTTCCAGATATCCATAGGTAGAGGTTCAAACTCTTTATACAGATAGTGAATCCTTGTCCACCGTGGCACCCTTACCAGCTTCTCTTCACATAAGTGGTAGGCCATACAGCGTTCTTGAAATCCTTTCTATCCACTCACAGTGTTGCACAGTTCACAATATACACGCTAGTATAATATGCTTGGAACAGTTAGATCAAAGTTTTACGCCGTCATACAAGAAACCTTTAACTCTCTGCGTGACTTGACTGCCACTGAGAGAACTGGCCACTACAGGGCCTATGTTCAAGCTCCTCCGCTCATCTTATTATGTATTCATTAACAATGATATTTGGGAGCTAACAATAAAAGGATCCGATACACTGTCTGACCTCTTAACTCCCACCTTGAGGGTGCTTTACCACCCTAGAAAGACTCCTCTTGCTGGCTTCACTTTTGCAGCTTGTTTTGCAACAGTTTTTCATCTTTCAGGGACATTCATAACATCATCGGATCAGGGACCGGGACATTGTCATCTAAGTTTCTTGTCGCCAAACGATCCGCTATTCAATTGTCTACAGCTATGCAAAATTTGGCGCCGCTACGCCGCGCCATTCGGAACCATTCGGGAAAAGCTTTCGGGGGGTCAATCTGACCTCTCCCACCCGAGCGCGCGTTAAACGACTGATGTATTCAAGTATGTGGGCGTTAGCACGGGAATTACATGAAATGTCGTATTATGGCTTTGATTTCTGCCCTGTAGTGTCTAACACAGAGACTCTTTAGAGTGACATCCAGTAGACAACTTTTACGTTAAATGCTCAGCGTTGCATACTTTGTTATGAATGACGCATAAATTACCCATAATATACTATCAATTTCTACTCTGGAACAATATTGTAGCGTATCTTACCCCAGATTCGGTCTATATTTGGCACCATTCCTGCACTTTACGGACCAATATCTCCCCGAGGAAGTCAAAATTCTGGCCAGCTGCATCATCTCGAGGAAACTCATGTTGATGCGAAGACAGCGATGCTTACAAAAATGGCCTACCTTGCCTAGAGTGGAAGCCGTACACGATCAGCAAAACATTTTGTCTATTGGGCTGTCCGTGCGCTTTTTTACAGCAATTTATTGGATCGTCGACCGATGCTCGTTTTAATGGCTGCAGAAACCATATGTGCCATCTTTAGGACGGCGAAATCACGTAGGAAAACTATCTGAGAGAATGTTTCGCTTGAGCAACGGCGTTACATCATGCGTGGGGCGCGCCGCATATCAAATGAAAACACTAATAAACCCAAAAACAAACGATGGAAATGGAATGTGAAAATGATCATCACGCATCCTGTCAAGAGGAAGGTTAAAATAGCTGGAAGAAATGATGGCTATAGGGTGGCCCTTACGTTTTTCTTCGAAGTAGACTCATCTAGTCATCAACCCATGCTCATTAATCTGGATGAAGGAGTCTGATGAAAAAGTGATATTCAGGGAGTAAAATCCTCACCGAAAGCCTTGATAATCAAACTTTTTACTTACCTAACGAGTGAAGCATGCCAAGTTGCCTGTCAAACGGAAGCACTCGTGAACAAAACTGTTCATATGCAAAGAAATGCCCAAATTTTCCAGGCAAAATTAAGGTCCATGAAAAACTCAAATCTTTAGGCTTTCCTACGATTTTCTTGAAGGTTGGCTTAAGGATCTGGAGGTCGTGCTCAGAAGGCCAAGGTCCAGACCTGGTAAGCTCAGGAAGCCCAGACACAAAAGGTCGATGTTGAAATATTCGGAGCTAAGGTGGCCTACGTTTAGGTGTTTGAGGCCCTTTCGGCCGGTACGATGTCAAAGGTCTGGTACAAGGTCAAAGTTAAGAGAGTTTGGATTAGAGAAATCAATGCTCAGAATGTCACGGTTCAGGAAATCGAGGAGTTGGCGACCGCCGCAGAAAACGTCCATGTTCTGAGTGCTGCAGTTTTCAATGTTTTCAATTTCAACGAATTACGTGCCTAGAATTCCATAACCTCAAGCGGGAAAAGAGTCTGTGTCTGGACCTGTCGATCCATGTGACGCTGATATGGGCATTTTGTCAACCTGAAAATGACCTACTTTGTACCTGATGACGTCGAGTACACGTTTGTCAGATGACCAGGTGTCGTTCGCACTGCCCGCCACAATACCCATGCTTTACGGACCGGCGCCGATGCATCTTGAGCTGGCACAACAGATGCTAACAGATAGTTGGTTCCGTAATTGTATTCAACGTAAAGCCCAACTACAAGCAGCTAAATGTCCGGTTCGCATAAACACCTGTTAAGAATTACGTACGGCCTTGCTGTTATGCCACCAACATAGCACGGGTCTTCCTTGTGCATGCAGTCACTTCACATCTGGTGTCAGTGCAGTCGTTATCCATCCCTTGACGACAGCGGCAGCTGACAGCAAGTGGTGCAGCTAGCCTTTCTTGCAATGTTTTCCTTTGCAGAAGACGCAGCACCATCCTTTGTGACAGTTGCCGTTTAGGGTGCTGCAGCGACTTGGGAAATGGCATTTCCTCCTGCATTCACCTGAAATTAGACAACGGTCGCTTGTCGGGATTTGTGTATGTTAAATCTTCTGCAGTAGGGTGATGTAGCTTCGACGATCATAACGTCAGCCAATTTGAAATGCAGAAGCGTGCCATTTATGCCAAACATCCTATGGTTCCAAAAAAAAAAACGCTGCTGATGTGAACATATGCAATGCTCGAAATGCATATTGCATCTCTAAGAAACCTGAAGAGCGCATTTCATGAGAGAACGCCTGATGGGCGAGCGATCGACGTGATGCATGACACAAGTTGATGAGTATCTCAGCCAACATCCGCTTTAGCTGGGGTTTCGTGTAGCACAAAACCACAGTGGTTCAGAAATGCACTTCTCCTAGAAATGGTCTTCGCTGAGAGCCATGGCCTGATTTTCACCTGCAATAGGTCAGTGACCTTGCAAGGCACGTCTAAATCTTGCATAGCACAATATCCAGCGTCTAAATTTTTACGGCTGTGCAAAGTTCTGTGTGACCACGCCGCGCCGTTCGCGATCCATTTTGGAAAAAAACATCCGGGCAACTTCACACACACCCGAGTGCGTGTTAAAACTGAAAAGCACATCCCGTAAGCGAAGACCTTGCATGTGAGCTATCGATGTGATGCATGACAATAGTTCATGAACATGTTACCGACGACCCTTATTTTGAGCCGCAGTTTCGCAGTACATAGCGTCACAACGACACCACCATGGCGACAACGTGTGCTCAGCACCAGGCGACAACGACTGGAACGTACTGAATGTGTCGCCCCGAAGACAGCAGAGACGCCTGTGAGGTTTCCAGCACCAGCGGCAGACATCCTTTTTCCATTTTCCGCACGTCTGGCCGAATTTGCTACACCTTCCACCTGCAATGCACCGGTTGGTTACCTCTGTTAACGGTTGAAGCCCGCCACACTTTTGACGTGCTAGAACTCAGAGGGTGCCACCATTTCGCTCCTGTTGGAACTACCAGTGGTCCAGGATGTTGAAAGGCTGACACAAGTCTGATATACGCCAGTAGTCTAAATACAATACATTGGGTGACCAGCAGCTTTTTACGGCCAAAGCGTTGGTACCATATGCCATTGTTTCCAAATATTTGCAAACCTCCAGGGTGGGTGGGGATTGCCCCCCCCCCCCCCACCGACGCCAGATATCTGCTCGACACGGCCCCTTAGAATTTGTTCGAACATACCCGCATTGCAATGAAACACTTGGATATATATATATATATATATATATATATATATATATATATATATATATATGGCCCAGGTTAGGTGAACATGCTCTACTACAAATCACTCTGGACCCTTTTCCCATACTTGAGAAGGTGATCTTCAAAGCAGCTACGGACAATCATGGAGCGCATCATGAAATCCAGTTGCTTTTCTTCCGCTTCATAATTTCCAGACCTTCCACAGACTTTCCACCGTTCCCTTAGTTGGTCATGTGCATAGGTCAGACAACATTGTGATTTACCAGCGTGAGCACTTGTGTGATCAGCAGTCCGGCATAGATATCAGTCAGTCATCAGCGTCCAGTGAGTCTACAGTCTCCCTCGCCGAAGGGAGGGGGAGGGGAGGGGCGGTCCCAAGCTCCTTGAGGTGCTCCTAAGAAAACTTTTTAACTACTAAAGGTATGACTTGTAGATTTCTGGCGGCTAGCATTGCAACGGCTAATACAATTTTTACAAAGACGGGCGAAGAGCCCTCCGTTCGGTCCTACGGCCCCCTGACTGACACAGGATCCTTTCAACGTCTCTTCAAGGACTTTTTCGTCGTCATTTCTGACAGTCAGCACAAGAGAGCCGCTGATATTTGTTGTCCGGCCCTGGTCCCCGTTTACCAAGTGGGATCCTGGCCGACATGGGGCGCGTCTCCGACACAGCGTCTGTTAGAAGCTGTGGGCTTCATGACTGACAAATGGTCCCACGTTGTTTCCGGGAGCCGCCGAATGCAGGAAACCATGAGACAAGAGTCCGACAGAAGTGAAGAAAGCCATAAATGTACAGGGAAAGTTGTTGTTTTCGGTAGACTGGCCAAAATTGCTCGAACCGTAACCCTTACTAATTTACAGATGTTGTCACATCTTTTCGTCAAGTTCACCGCACAGAAGTCGTTATTGGGTCACGGCATTAACTGTCAATCGTCTGGGAAAATTCACTCACAACATCACGACGTGTCACGATCTAACTAAAGACGATCGATCATCTCTGGCAAAAACAGCTCGAACAGTACGAGCGACTCACCTTCAGCGACCACCAGCGCCAGACAAAACACGACAATTAATGGCAACAGACGCATGATTGGTCAGAGGCGACTAAACACCTTATGCCTGGGTTGCCTTTGACCACCTTTTATACATTGGGAAACACGAGTCAGGAAGAGGGTGGATGTCAGTCACTCTCCCCTCCTCTCAAAGGTCAGCAAGCTGTCAAGTTAACCATGCTCGATGACCTTATCAGCAGTGTGGTGAATCATTCCTTGCAGCCGTGTGTACGAATGTGATTTTGAAGGCGCAGTACTGGTGCGTCAAACAGGGAAGGGTATCGAGGACAATGCCAAAACGGGTTTTGAGCCTGATCAGAATTTCCTTGCACACACCGAGCACATATGTCCAAAATCCAAAGCCAAAAATCCAAAATACATTATTGCAAGCATGAATGTAATTGCAGGTGACAAATGTGATTTCATTTTTTTTTTTGACCGACTGTCGTAAGCTCACGTTGTTCACATTGCCCACGTCGTCGAAATCGAAGGCAATGTAAGTCATGGAGGTAGGCACGTAATTTTGTCATTTCGCTGCTGCGATTTTCGTTTTCACTTCCGTGGCGGGGTTCCCGAGAGCCAATCGTCCTGCATTGGATTAATTTTCACTTTGTTTCTTCTTACTTCTGCGGCTTAAGTGGCGGCAAATTGTCTCCCTATCTAACCATTGAACATGGCATGATACACTCATCCATAGGCAGAAGATCATAGGACTCTCCAATCTCGTCCTGCGCCGGCTTGGTCCGCTGAGGGATGGGAGGAACAGTGGTTTAGTCCTAAGTCTCCTAAACAGTTGGACGGTTTAAGTTTAGCTCATTAAGCGTTCAGGGCAAGTTATGAGGCTTGGCGAATTGTAAAATATTTTTTCAGGGTCAGTTGAAGCCACAAAATAAACAACATAGATGAAGACCTGCGCGGATATTTTGATGTGCGAAAAATCGCAGTTTTCGTTCGTGCTTCGAGTTGGTTCAAAATTCAATCAGGCTCATCCAATCAAAGCGAGCCATACGGCATCACGGCGCGAGGTCAAGACATTTTAACTAGAGGTGCCGCAACAAAATTATAAGTGGCCCCAGTTTGTCAGATATAAGTCAGTACCACCGCGATGTTTCCAAACCAGGTACCTCTGCAGTCCGAGGCGTACCTAGACATAATGCAAATCACATCCAAGACAAATTAAATTATCTTGCCACAAAAAAAGAGCCAATAAGTCTAAGGGGTTCTCAGGCGGGGTCAAAATGATCCCAGACAAGCAAAATGCGTCATCGAAGGTCCAGGTAGCCAGGGAGCCGACCCATGAGTGCATGGGGATTGGAGTTGACGAGTGATCGCCAGCATGGCGCTATTCGAGCCGTTTTGAAAGGTTTTATGTGAATTCATTCGATTTGTTGTACATACCGGAAAACCAATTCAGCTCTTTCGAGTGCAAACATTTTCAATCGCTTTTTGCCCAGTGCATGCTTATACTGAAACCGTAAACAACGCAGATCAAGGCTTGTGCACTGAAGTGCTCTTCTAAAGTCAGCAATACGCTTGCTTCTCTATTCTCTTCAGCTGTTACATTGTCTCCATCTCTCTCTGACTGACTGCCGACCGGGGGCCCAATGACCCCGTGCAAGGTCATACCACGGCGCCGAGAGGGACGACACAGCCGGAGGCCGTAATGCACAGGTTCCAGAACTCCAATGGCAGGTCTTCGTGTATAAATCAGCACGTCCTACTTATATTTAAAACACTGGTCATGAATGCAGGTCTGCACCGGTCGGACGTCCACAGACATGACCAGCCGCGTGTCTCCAGCTTTGGAACAACAGACCGGAGTTAACGCGCGTCTTTCGACCGGGAAAGGGTACGGTTTGTGCGAGTGTATGCCGGCACGTACCGCTTTGTAGGGTGAAATTGTCGCTGATAGCGCGGATCGAAGCCCCACACAATAGCTTGGCCTCGCGCGGGTTGCACTATCCACATTAACTCACAGCATTGCAGAATTATAACGTTAAATGTTGATATATTCCTTGCTGCATGGGAGGTTTGTCAGTAACATCGGTCGTGACTTAGTGTGAATATCCGTCATTGCCACACCTAAGAGTTATTATTGAAGCTGTCAAATGGATGAGTACTCACCAAGCCAGTCTAAATTGTTGGACATGACACCACAAAATAACAGGCACGGACACATCTAGGAAATACGCAATCTACTACAACAGGTGCAATGACAAGCCAGTCACAACTGTACTATACAAGAAACGCGAACCATATTATCTCAACGACACAGCACGCTCACAGCATCTAAGAGACGGCGCTTTACTGTGCTATCAGTGCATATACAGCAAACTGTTCTTTTGAAGTGGCCTGCACTGATAATTTGAGGGCAGCTGGTCTTCCAGTGTCCTGCAGGAAACAAGTAATCACCTCCACACATGAGGGGCCTCCAGCCTAACTTTGGCCATCGGGGTGCCGGTAGTGTAGTGGTTGACGCGTCTGCGTTAACCACTGCGCGTCTGGGAAGCCAGAGGTACGGGGTTCGATTCCCCGCGGTGCCCGGCCTTCCTGCCAGGGTGAGAGGCAGGCGACGCCATATGGCCTCAGCAGCTGAGTGCGTCGTAAAGCCCCAATGACATGACACACACATAACTTCGGCCATCGTTGACTGGATGGCAGAGAGATTCATGCTTACTTTTGAGAACACACGCTCGGCCTCTGCTGTTGACGCGGACAGGACTGACAGCTTCATCAGAGCAGACACGGCCGGAAGGCGTCCGTGGAGCAACGCGGCAGAGGTGCGATCGCTACTCTTGGTCCTCCTTCAGGCGGCGTGCGCGTCCACAAACTGTACCGAACCGTGAAATCCGCCTCGGCCTGCATCGCCGACGCTGGGATCAGACGTGCGTGCTCCGTCCAGACAGGGATGACATCTTCCCACATCGCAGCTGTGACACGGCTTGCGATCAGGAAGCTCAGAGTCATGGATCTCCGCTGGTGCTCACCGAAGCTGGCCCGGAGGTCACCCAATAAGTGGTTCACCGATGGAGCAAACAGATTCACTCGGTTGTAGCCTTCGACCGCGTCATCCTGCGAAGCGGAGGGCATGGTTGTTACGCGGTGCGCGTTCCCTCCCGCCTCCTGCGAGACGCAGACAGCCGAGTCCAACACCTGCGACTGATCCCATGCATGCCTCCGCCACAGAAGATGTTGGAGAATTTTGCAGGGTCGGATCTGAGTCTCTCCAGCTCTTCCATGACTCTGTCGATAAGCCGCACAGATGCGACCAGACCAGCACTTCTCTCTTGCAGGACTCTGCACGAGGGCAGTAAAGGGCCGGCCAGTTTCAGCAGGACATGGAGGATGAGGTCAGTCCCGATGCCTGGGCCCTTGCCAGAAGCAGTTCCAAAGCTTGTCCTCCCATCTTGCCTCTCCGTCTCTGGGGGCTGTGATGGCACGTGCGGTTCCCCATGGAGTATTTGCACTCGCAGGCAACGCAAGGCATTTTCAAAAATGAAATATTTCTGCACTGGGTGCTGCTCATAATTAGACCCGGTGTTCTGGCTATTTATAGTGAGTTCGAGCTGAATGTTACCTCAGTGCTTGTTAGGCACCACTTTCTTTACATGACGTCTCGAACAGTCTTCTCTTTAACATTTATGCGGTTGAGCCCTTATCTTGCGCTACAGATTTTTCAGCGGTTCCTCCTACTTTATCCCTTTGTTCTTCGTGCAAGTGTAATTATTTGTGAAGCTTCCGGCGGAAGGAGATTTGACACTATTCTTGCAAAGAGTAGCTACAGCCTCTTCAGGTGCGCATTAACTTTGATCTAGGTGGGGGACAAACTCCAAAATGTCAAAATGGGCCCCTTTGAGATTAGGTAGTGAGTCCTGTAAGCCAAAATGGGACTCCCACGGATCAGAATGGTCCCATTTTGTTAGAATGGGCCGTCTGCAAGACACAATGGGCCCTGAACAGTAAAAAATGACCCTATACAGACTAGAATAGGCCCACACAAGGTAAAAATGGGTCCTCGTTAGGTCAGAATGGGGTCTTTGCAAGCAAGAATGCGCCCACCACATGCCTGAATGTGTCCCTCTACAGGCCAGAATGGGACATCCATATTCTATAATATTCTCTTTACATGCCAGAATTGGCCCTCCTTTACATGCTATAGTGGGCCCTCACAAGCTTGGAAGGGGTTCTTTAAAGGCCAAAACGGGCCCTCATTAGGTCAGAATGGACCCCCGAGTCAAACATGAGTGTCTACAGATCACAATGGGCACCTACCGGCTGTAATGGATCACCCACAGTCAATAATAGGTCTTTTCATGTCAGAATGAGCCCTTTGCATGCTCAGAAGTGCCCTCTTTTGGTCCGAATGGATCCTAAATAGGCCAGAATGAACCCTTGACAAGTCAGAATGGACTTTCACAGACTTACATAATCCAATTACAGGCCTGCATAATCCCTCTACGGGCATACATAATTCCTTTACGGTACAGAATCGGCTCGTAACGTGCATAACAGAATGGGCTTCCACGAACCCTCCATGCTGGGGGAGGAGGCGCCGTCCCTCAGCTCTCAGCGAACGCTGGACCTTTTCATCCAGAGGAACACTGGGTTTTCTGATCTAGAGGAACACATGACTTCTCATCCAGAGGAGCACTGGACCTTCTGATTGTTAGGTCGCGACACGAAGTTTCCATCATCCCCGCCGTCATTTTGTCGGTTCCTTGTCATTGATTATGCTGTAGTTGAAACCTCACGGCATGTTCTTGTGCCTGCTCTTTTTAATGTTTTCCACTCTATATGCTGCGTTGGGAAGGAGCGGGTTCATGCTGATAGGCCTTTTCATGGTGCTCGAATGTGACCGCTTTTGATGTAGCCGTTTATATCACGCATACTTTTGGCTACGGGCAGCTAAAGGCCATAATCCACAAAATACCCTAGAAACATTAATTGGGAACAATAAACTAAGCCATGAATGTTGCATGAACGAGCAGCTGGGGCGCCCTATAACCCGAATCATCATCAATCACCAATCATCAATTATCATCAGTCAAGTCATCAGTCCAACTTAACAAACGGAACACATTTAAAATCTTATTTTTAGG